TTGAGTACTTTTTTCTGCTTTTCTCCTGAAATACAAATCCATTTCATGTTTCTGATATTTTCATAGAAAAGTCTTTTTTAATCAATATACAATAAATGGTTTTGTGGATGTTTTGAAAAAATCGTCCATTTTAAATTTCTCTTTTTTATCTTAAATTTTAGTTTTATATCGAAAGGAATGATAATTTTGATAGTTAGCATGATAACACTGAAATTACCTGCAATGTTTTCAAGTTGTATGAGAGTACTCAATTTTTAGAAGTATTAATTTGGTTTCTTGTCATTTAATCATTTGATCCAAAAAAAATACAAGTTGGAATTCAATTCTTAAATTAAAATATTACAAGATAATGTAATGATTGTTGGGTTTCAACAAACTAAAAAGTAATTTCAAATTTATGTATCACTCATATACTTTTAGGTTTTAGTATGCTTTAAACTTTTATCATAAAATTTTTTTTAATTCGTTTAAAGATTTCATTTTACCATCTTTTCGACCGGTAGTTTTTTGTTAAAGATTTCTTATTAAGTATTAGTTTGGTGACATGTTGTTAAGATAAAATAACAAATGAAGTGAATTTTAAAGAAAAAAATTGAAATATCAGTAATGTATCACTCAAATCAATAAAGCATTTCACTTCACTTTTGAAATTTCAATTACTTCAAAAAGTAATCAACTGTATAAAGCAAAAGCGTAAAGATTTTATGGAAAACAAATGTTACTTCATTTTAAGGTAAGAAAAAGTAATATTATGGTTAAGGTGTGAATTTTAAATTTAAATAGGGTTGCATCAGCGAGGCAAATCATCGCATCGGATAGTAGCCGTATTCGAGACTTACATTAAATTAAAATTTCTAAAATATTTGATTTTATATTATGTCAATAAATCACTCATTTTGGATGCATGTCCTAATCTTTGACCATTGGATTAGTAACAAATACGATTGTTGAACTTACAAATTTCAGTTGGTGGTGCATAAGATGATGGATCGTGAAGTTTTCGATGTGATGAACCACATCCCATGACGTTGTAGGCTTTCGAAAATTTTTGTTAATCAAATAAATCAAAGATGGATTGTTTGATAGGATGTCCAAGTCCACTTGAAAATGAAACATTTTTTGATAACGAAGATAATCATATCCCATCGAAGTATTCATTTAAATGTCGTTTATGCAAATAACAACAAATTTCACTCTTCTATTCGTACGAAGATGACTAAAATCTGCTAATTGGAAAAAAAAAATAATGGATAGTTAGTGTTATAGCTAATTACTTGGCGAAGTTGTTATCCTCATGCCTCGTTTTTACTTTTGCTTTTTGTTTTTAATTTTATTGGTAATCTGCTGACACATTCACCGTTGTCATTATCGCCACCATCGTCATCATCATCATCACTATCATTAGTGATAGTATTAATAATGTTTGCAGTTAGACAAATGATACATTGATCATCAGTTATCACTATCGTCAATACCAATAATTGCGATTAGGCAAAAGATACATTCACCATTGTTAATAGCATCATTATTATTATTATCTATCAACATCACTATTATTATTACTATTATTAGTAGTAGTAGTAGTAACAGTAGTCAACTATTGCATTTCGATCAGCGAAATATTCTTCCTATCCTATATATTAATAACTTGAGTATTTTTCCTCGAAAAGTGAACCGTTGATAACAATGACCAATAGGAACAATTACAATAATGATAATAGTAATTA